AAAATCCAAATTGCACTATAATATTAAATGTTTCTAAAGTTTTTTAAAGTACACACATCCTAAGTATACACTATGCTAGCCACATTCCTATGTTTTCTCTATCAAAGTTAACAAAGATAAACCAAGTAAACTATTTCTCCTGTTAGCAATGCCAAAGATAGTGATATCACTAGAGATAAAAAAATATAAATATGCGGTTTGCAAGATTAAAAAAGCTCAGATATGCTGGGCAACCTAGCTGGACGAAAGATGTGAACGTAATTTTGCCTAGAAAATAATTAACAGAGAAGGATTTTGCAAGTTCATATATAGTATTTTTCATCTGGGCCCCACAATCTCATCCCACACTTTTGTTAAGGTGTGGTAAGCTTTTTGAAGCAATACAAGTAGCATTGACATTGACAAACTCACAGGGGTACAGAGGCCAATTTTTTGTTCCTTTTCATTCCCAGCTACCACGAGGAATTTAGCTAAACTGGGGAGAACATGGAAGCCTGGAAGATAGCTAATACCGCTGTTCCTGTTAATAAAAAAACCCTGGCACTTATACTTTGCACTGGCTCCGCTATAACACATGTCCAAAGTTCAGCTGAAAGTTTCATGTATGACAGTGGCATCATTCTTTGTTATTACACAGTTATTATGTATACAAGAAGAGAGTCAATGCTGTGTAATGGTTTGAGCACTGGATTACAACTCTGGAGACCAGGGTTCGAATCCCGGCCATACAAACCCACTGAGTGACCTTGGCCAAGTCACACTCTCTCAGCCTTAGAGGATGGCAATGACAAACCCCCTCTGAAGAAACTTGCCAAGAAAACCCCATGATAGGGGCTGCCTTAGGGTTGCCATAAGTCGTAAGTCGTAAATGACTTGAAGGTAAACAACAACACGTATACCGTACTACACATTTGTTAATAACAAGCATATATGCTATGAAGCAGGGGTGAGAATAATGTAGTCCTCCAGGTGTTGTTGGACAGCAACTCCCAGCATTCTTCAGTACAGGCTATGCTACTTAAGACTGTTAGGAATTGTAGTGGAACCACATCTGGAGTGTTGCATGATTCTCACCCATTGTACAACTTCACCTGATTATCTGAGAGGGTAAAGCAAAGGTAAGCCAGAATTTATATTTATTCATTTATATATAACAAATCCATGTTTACTCAGAAATAAGACCCACTAAATTCAGTGGGACTAACTTCTAGGTCATTGTACATAGCTAAACTGCTGACGCTCAGTAAACAACTCCTCTTTTTCACCCAGTGAGAAGTCAGTCCCTGTATATCAGGGATTTATATGCTGGGTTCTAGCAGAGATCTGCAAACTATGTGAATTTTTCCTCTTTGATTTGATTTCTGTTATTAAAAAAAAAAGGGGGGGGGAAGAAAGTACTATAATTTTTATTTGCATATAACAAATATATCTTACATATATAATCTCAGTACATTTCATATAATACAATAATATTGTAATATACTACTATAATAGACTAGTAATACAACAATTATCTATCTGTTCACATTCCATAATTATTCAATTATTTAGCATCTTCCATTCTTTCTATTTTCCCCTTCCCTTCTATTAGACTTACTCTTTATCTCACATCCTATTTCTGTGTTTCCTCTAATCAATATTCCTCCTTCATTTACATATTTGTGTCATTTACAACTTGTCCCTTATAAATAATGTTCTTTGTTGGTTGTTATGGACCTTGCAAACTTCTTTTATGTCTCATATTGTTTGTTTCCTTTTCTCAGTTCAAGACAATTTATAAGCAATCATCTTTTTCACTGCTTAGTCCGGAAAAATCATCTATCATCTATTTGACCCATCTACCTTTGCAATATTTCATGACAGCTTTCCATTTTTAATCTATTTTCCATTTATTAAAGATGTAAGCCTGTCCATCTCAATCATATCTGGTATTTTGTTCAGGCAGTTGTCTATTGTAGGTATCTCAGGTCCTCTCCATTTCTGTGCAATTGCAAGTCTGGCCGCTGTTACTATATATAATATGCATTTTAAATGTTTTCTGGCTTCTTTGTCATCTACACTGTTACAGTACTTTCAATTTTTCCTGTCAAAGTAAATTTTAAGGTAAATATTAAGGGTTTCGCCCCCCCCCCCCATGTTCACTGTAACTTTTCCTTCTAGGCTAGTTTACACACAACTCCCCATGCAAAAATGCAAAAAAAATTTTTTTTAAAAAAATCCAATGCAATAAAATACAATAACACATACACAAATTTTGCAGAAACATGTTTATCTTTTTTTCAGTAGCGGGGGTCCACAGCTTTTTATCAGATTCTCGGGGGGCGGAGGAGGCTGTGACTCACAAAAGGCTTTATAACCATTGCTGTTGCTGTTGTGTGCCTTCAAGTTGTTTCCGACTTATGGCAAACCTATCATAGGACCTTATCACACGGGGCCAAAAGCAGCAAGAATCCACTAA